GGTCCTGTTTCAATCTTCTGCATGTGGTCAGCCAATTTTCCCAGCACCATTTACTGAATAGGTTCTCCTCTCCCCATTGGTAGGTGGTGGGGGCTTTGTCGAAGATGAGTTGGTTGAGAAATTGAGGGTTTTTTTTGTTTGTTTGTTTGTTTTACAGTCAGATCTTTATTTAAAAATCAGATCTGCCAACTTAACGCTTTCCACCAACTCGGGGAGCAGAAACCTTCACAGGCTTCACAATCTTTTGCTTAGGTGCTGCCTTCGTGGGTGCCTTAGCAGCAGCCATGGCAGTCTTTTTAGATGCTTGCTTAGCTTTTTTGCTTCCTTAGCAGCCCTGATGGCTTGTTCTCGTTGAGCCTCTCTAACTTCAGGTTTCTGATTCCTCTTGGCCATTATATCAGCAAGAGATGCACCAGTAATGGCCCTCTGGAATTTGACTGCACGGCGGGTTCTTTTCTTTTGAATTTCTTCCGATTGTCCCTTTTTGTGCTTTCTTCTATAGAGGACAGTCCAGTTTATTTGCCGAGGATTCCTCTTGGAAAGGAACGCTGACTCGCATTTTGCGTTAAGAAACTGAAAGACCTTCCCGTCGGTCCTGGCGTAGCGCCTCCCGTGTCCAGGGTAAATCTTGTAGCCGCTGAAACTGCACAACTCGACCTTCATGGCGGCAGATCCGGGAGAAGAGGGAAGACCTGTCTTTCCTCTTTCAGCTGCAAACTGCAACTAGTTGTACTGCTACAAGCCCACTGCTGCCCACCCCACCCGACAGATTCCTCCTCGACGCTTCCTGGGCATCAGAGACAGCCAATCCTCTAAGCTAGGGCTGAGACTTTGTGAACTAAAAGCACAGGCATAACCCCACTAACGGATCCCTCTCTTCTGCTGACCAAGAGTGCGCAGCACTACCCTTTTCAGCCTCCCTGAAAACGAGCGGGAGACACGGGAAGAGTTAAAAGAACGTGGAGGGTCTGAAACACTCGGAGCTCTCTCCTGGAAGCAGGGCCAGGACGCGGCCAGCGCGCGGGGAGCGCTCTGGGCCGTGTGATCCGGGGTGGGGCCCGTTTCTGAGCTGGGGACGGCTGCTCAACCCCAAGGAGCCCCATCCCGGGCCAGCCGCGGAGAAAGTCCCTCCCTGCAGGCGGAGACAGTTCCAAGAAGTCGACGCCCCGGTCCCGCCGCGGGACCAGTTCGCAGAGGCCGCCGCCGCCTCGCCCAGTTCCCGTGGCCGCCGCGGCGCGGAGTATGGGGCTCTGATGGCCATGGACGGCCACAGAGGCTTCTTGGCGCTGCTGGTGTCGGCGCTGCTCGTCGGCTTCCTGTCGGTGATCTTCACCCTCATCTGGGTCCTCCACTACCGGGAGGGGCTCGGCTGGGACGGGGGCGCGCTCGAGTTTAACTGGCACCCGGTGCTGCTGGTCACCGGCTTCGTCTTCATCCAGGGCATCGGTACTGGCACCTCCCGGGGGGCGGCAGGGAGGGGGCGGCGGAGGCCGTGTCCTCGAGGGAGCCCCATTCGAGTGGGACCGGAGGTCGGGGGAGCGCGG